TCTAAGGAGTACCTATGCACATTGCAAAGGCGAGCTAAAGGGAAGAAGAATGGAAATAATGCTAACCAAAGGGTTCAATGTGGAAATTTAGTACTCTTGAGAGTGGAAAACGTTCCTCCACAGTGTTGGCGACTAGGACGCATCCATGAATTACATCCTGGAACAGATGGTGTCATTCGAGTTGTCTCTGTTAAGACATCGAATGGAGTTGTAACAAGAGGCATTGGAAAGGTATGTCTAGTTCCCCCGGAGCAGCAACCTTTCGCGCCCCTGGAGAATGGAGAAATCTGCAACGGAATACTACCAATTAGAAATCTGTAATTATCGGCCGTTGAGTCGATAACGATTAGATTACAGCAAGAGAAGAAGAAGTTGTTTAGAATAGTAGTGAAAAAATTGTTTTATTTTAAAGTAGAAAGAATGTGATGATGTTTTATAATAAATAAAGATTAATAAAGAAATATAAACACTACTCTTCAAGTCTCATTTTCGTCTACTTGCTGATACTGGAAGATAATAATATTGATTATTATTTATAAGTATATAGGTGTGAGAAAAAAAAAACTCTTAACTTAATGTAATCAATAGGGCACGGAACTTTTGTAACAAAACGATTTCCCCCCTCCACTAAAACGATTTTCTCAATAAAAAAAATATATAAAATTTTTTTTGAGATTATTGATCAAATCAAAAATTTTTATTAACAAAATTTGTTTAGAATTACCTCAGGAACAGTGTTTGTTAATAAAATTTTTTGCTAACTTAAAATTTTAATTTCCCTCTGAATAGTATAAAAATTAATATTTTTGAGGTTATATCCTTATTGTTGATTTAATCAAAAAATGTTGTTAACAAAATTTGTTTAGAATTACTTCAGGAACAGTGTTTGTTAATACAATTTTTTGCTAACTTGAAATTTTAATTTCCCTCTGAATAGTATGCTATCAAAATTAATTATCTCAATAATTATTGTTTTTATCAAAAAATGTTTTAAATAAAATTTGTTTCAATTTCGATTTTGAATCAATTATCTTAATAAAAAAATTTTACATCTCTATTAATTAAGCGTCTAAGTGTAATTATGTATAAAAATTCAAAAATTATTATTTTGAGGTTATCTCCTTAATTATTGATTAAATCAAAAAAAATTGTTGACAAAGTTTGTTTAGAATTGTTTCAGGAACAATTTTTGTTAACACAATTTTTTTCTAACTTGAAATTTTAATTTCCCACTGAACAGTATGCTACAAAAATTAATATTTTTGAGGTTATATCCTTATTGTTGATTTAATCAAAAAATGTTGTTAACAAAATTTGTTTAGAATTACTTCAGGAACAGTGTTTGTTAATACAATTTTTTGCTAACTTGAAATTTTAATTTCCCTCTGAATAGTATGCTATCAAAATTAATTATCTCAATAATTATTGTTTTTATCAAAAAATGTTTTAAATAAAATTTGTTTCAATTTCGATTTTGAATCAATTATCTTAATAAAAAAATTTTACATCTCTATTAATTAAGCATCTAAGTATAATTATGTATAAAAACGGAAAAATTATTATTTTGAGGTTATCTCCTTAATTATTGATTAAATCAAAAAAAATTGTTGACAAAGTTTGTTTAGAATTGTTTCAGGAACAATTTTTGTTAACACAATTTTTTTCTAACTTGAAATTTTAATTTCCCACTGAACAGTATGCTACAAAAATTAATATTTTTGAGGTTATATCCTTATTGTTGATTTAATCAAAAAATGTTGTTAACAAAATTTGTTTAGAATTACTTCAGGAACAGTGTTTGTTAATACAATTTTTTGCTAACTTGAAATTTTAATTTCCCTCTGAATAGTATGCTATCAAAATTAATTATCTCAATAATTATTGTTTTTATCAAAAAATGTTTTAAATAAAATTTGTTTCAATTTCGATTTTGAATCAATTATCTTAATAAAAAATTTTTACATCTCTATTAATTAAGCATCTAAGTATAATTATGTATAAAAACGGAAAAATTATTATTTTGAGGTTATCTCCTTAATTATTGATTAAATCAAAAAAAATTGTTGACAAAGTTTGTTTAGAATTGTTTCAGGAACAATTTTTGTTAACACAATTTTTTTCTAACTTGAAATTTTAATTTCCCACTGAACAGTATGCTACAAAAATTAATATTTTTGAGGTTATATCCTTATTGTTGATTTAATCAAAAAATGTTGTTAACAAAATTTGTTTAGAATTACTTCAGGAACAGTGTTTGTTAATACAATTTTTTGCTAACTTGAAATTTTAATTTCCCTCTGAATAGTATGCTATCAAAATTAATTATCTCAATAATTATTGTTTTTATCAAAAAATGTTTTAAATAAAATTTGTTTCAATTTCGATTTTGAATCAATTATCTTAATAAAAAATTTTTACATCTCTATTAATTAAGCATCTAAGTATAATTATGTATAAAAACGGAAAAATTATTATTTTGAGGTTATCTCCTTAATTATTGATTAAATCAAAAAAAATTGTTGACAAAGTTTGTTTAGAATTGTTTCAGGAACAATTTTTGTTAACACAATTTTTTTCTAACTTGAAATTTTAATTTCCCACTGAACAGTATGCTACAAAAATTAATATTTTTGAGGTTATATCCTTATTGTTGATTTAATCAAAAAATGTTGTTAACAAAATTTGTTTAGAATTACTTCAGGAACAGTGTTTGTTAATACAATTTTTTGCTAACTTGAAATTTTAATTTCCCTCTGAATAGTATGCTATCAAAATTAATTATCTCAATAATTATTGTTTTTATCAAAAAATGTTTTAAATAAAATTTGTTTCAATTTCGATTTTGAATCAATTATCTTAATAAAAAATTTTTACATCTCTATTAATTAAGCATCTAAGTATAATTATGTATAAAAACGGAAAAATTATTATTTTGAGGTTATCTCCTTAATTATTGATTAAATCAAAAAAAATTGTTGACAAAGTTTGTTTAGAATTGTTTCAGGAACAATTTTTGTTAACACAATTTTTTTCTAACTTGAAATTTTAATTTCCCACTGAACAGTATGCTACAAAAATTAATATTTTTGAGGTTATATCCTTATTGTTGATTTAATCAAAAAATGTTGTTAACAAAATTTGTTTAGAATTACTTCAGGAACAGTGTTTGTTAATACAATTTTTTGCTAACTTGAAATTTTAATTTCCCTCTGAATAGTATGCTATCAAAATTAATTATCTCAATAATTATTGTTTTTATCAAAAAATGTTTTAAATAAAATTTGTTTCAATTTCGATTTTGAATCAATTATCTTAATAAAAAATTTTTACATCTCTATTAATTAAGCATCTAAGTATAATTATGTATAAAAACGGAAAAATTATTATTTTGAGGTTATCTCCTTAATTATTGATTAAATCAAAAAAAATTGTTGACAAAGTTTGTTTAGAATTGTTTCAGGAACAATTTTTGTTAACACAATTTTTTTCTAACTTGAAATTTTAATTTCCCACTGAACAGTATGCTACAAAAATTAATATTTTTGAGGTTATATCCTTATTGTTGATTTAATCAAAAAATGTTGTTAACAAAATTTGTTTAGAATTACTTCAGGAACAGTGTTTGTTAATACAATTTTTTGCTAACTTGAAATTTTAATTTCCCTCTGAATAGTATGCTATCAAAATTAATTATCTCAATAATTATTGTTTTTATCAAAAAATGTTTTAAATAAAATTTGTTTCAATTTCGATTTTGAATCAATTATCTTAATAAAAAATTTTTACATCTCTATTAATTAAGCATCTAAGTATAATTATGTATAAAAACGGAAAAATTATTATTTTGAGGTTATCTCCTTAATTATTGATTAAATCAAAAAAAATTGTTGACAAAGTTTGTTTAGAATTGTTTCAGGAACAATTTTTGTTAACACAATTTTTTTCTAACTTGAAATTTTAATTTCCCACTGAACAGTATGCTACAAAAATTAATATTTTTGAGGTTATATCCTTATTGTTGATTTAATCAAAAAATGTTGTTAACAAAATTTGTTTAGAATTACTTCAGGAACAGTGTTTGTTAATACAATTTTTTGCTAACTTGAAATTTTAATTTCCCTCTGAATAGTATGCTATCAAAATTAATTATCTCAATAATTATTGTTTTTATCAAAAAATGTTTTAAATAAAATTTGTTTCAATTTCGATTTTGAATCAATTATCTTAATAAAAAATTTTTACATCTCTATTAATTAAGCATCTAAGTATAATTATGTATAAAAACGGAAAAATTATTATTTTGAGGTTATCTCCTTAATTATTGATTAAATCAAAAAAAATTGTTGACAAAGTTTGTTTAGAATTGTTTCAGGAACAGTGTTTGTTAATACAATTTTTTGCTAACTTGAAATTTTAATTTCCCACTGAACAGTATGCTGTTCTTTTAATCAAGATTTTGTGAGAACGAGTGGAAGGGGGAAACCGTATCGTTTTGTTACAAAAGTTCCGTGCCCTGGTAATCTAAGTTCTAGATGATTGTCTCCTTAATTTTGATTTTATTTTGACATATTTCAAGATCTATGACATCGTTTTTATTAAGTGATTTTGCCATTAGTATGATTGTGGGATCCCCCTTCTTACATTTTAAATGAATTATAACCGATTTGTTGTACAAGATATTGACCAAGCAATCCTTTTAAAAGGAAAAGTCGTACCAAGGCATTCCTTGTATTTGGAACAGCGGTTAAATCGACACAATAAAACCGAAAAATAGCACGCGATCAATTTTTCAGTATATCCCATAAAAAGAAAGCATAAATTGTACCTCAATAATTTTAATTAATTTCAATTAAACATTTCAGATAACAATTTTAATAATTAGGTTAAAATAATGGAGATAATTAAATTAGTGTTGTGGTATATTTATAAAAATTAAGAATAAACGTTTCGAAAATAACAAATTAATCAATAATACCATGGTAACTTCCGTTCAGCTAAAACCTTTAACCGATGAGTTTCCAACGTGACATTTCATTCCTATAAGTTGAGAGGTACTTACATATATTCAAAGATGACTACCACACCGGTGCCTTCGGTAAAGTCGACGAAAAACAGCGTCGTTCATAGTACAATGAACACTGAAGAATCTTCATACAACAGTATACTGGCATGTTTTGATAGATTATTACCGGAAGATACAGAAGCCAGATCGATAACGGTAAAATTTCGGAGTCACGGCGAGTTTATATATACCCAATCGTATTATGAAGGAGTAACAATCGGTTATCTGAAAGATGTTCTTACCGATATATTGAATATTCCATCCTACGCAATGGAATTAATCCACGAAGACCGATACACGGATAATAACGAACAATTATGCAATTTCGATATCGGTATATTTAGAATATTAGAACTAGATTTGTTCTCAACTCACGTCTTTTCAACGAGCAACCTTTACGAAGATTATTTCTATCCTGACGTGTTAACGGTACAAATCATGAATGAAGACGGCACTTGGAGATATGTAGTGGTGGAAATTGAACATAAAGAAATTATAAAACCGTTTTTGGGTGGTTATTTAAACATATTAACTGGCGTTGAGTATCATCATGGATATACACAAACTGGTCCACTACCACCAAGAATCCCCGTCGACCAACAAAGTAATCGAGATACACAAACGTATTTTTTAAGAAATCGAAAACAATTAACCACTTATTCGAGAGCGACTCAAATGGCCAACGAAGAAATATGGATCCCAAACGTAACTGATAAAATATTAAAAGCAGGTAAATACATTACCGCTGAAGAATTAGAGAAAATTAAAAACATCCCCGGGAAAGTAAAGATAATCCAACGATATTATCGTGCTTGGAAAATTCGGAGATCTTTAAAAGAATTGGCAAAAGAATATTATAAAAGATTGGAAAAAGAAGCGGAAGAAGACGAATATCAAAGAAGAATCGACGATGAACGTAAAAAGCAAGAATTGATAGCCAAAGTTTTTCCAAGATCGAAGAGTGATTTTTCAATGATCTATTACATGCTGGATAAGTGGAAAAAGGCCGAATTAGAACGGATAACAAGCAACACTTGTGGCCCCGCGAGATTGGCCGAAATGTACTTACTTTTAGAAAAAGAAATCGAATTTTTAAGAAATTTAGACATGCATAGACAAGCAGTCGCGGAAGACGAAAAAATTCAAAAAACAGAAACTTTTTTTGAAACAATCGGTAAACCAATTCAATGGAACAGCGAATACAAAAACTTATTATGCACAATGGATTCATTAGAAACCCAAAAAGCTCGTGAATATTATAAAATTTACCTACAATTAACAGATAAAAACAAAACGAAAGAAGAAAGAATACAAATTCTTCTCGGTATTAAATTATCCTTAGATAACCACACTTGTGAAATTTCAGCCGAATTAATTGATTTAATCGATCGCGAATGTACCTTAACTGTTCGTGGTTTAAACGAGCATCATTTAGAGATATTACAGAAAAGAATCGAATCACTATTTGTAAAGCATATTCAACAACCGGAGTGTAGTAACGGAGTTACAAACAGAATGAACCGAGTACGCGAAAAATTAATGGAAGGCAATTTATTCTTTTGCCATCGTTGTAAAAAACTGAAAACTCACGAAGAATTCCCGCTAAATTCCCGAACTGAATCGTTCATCGTTTGTAAAAGTTGCTCATATACTGATAGGGTGTTAGAACCATGGTTTGATATCGCCCCATATCGCTTTATTTTACGTTGGATAAGACGCGAAGAACGATTAAAATGTTCATCTTCTTCCGTGGCGTTTATAATGCAAGAAAGAGATATCGAATATATAATCAATAGAATATGGCATTCTCATTCCGCTGTAAATGAATGTAACGACATTTACGAATTAAGATTGTGTCGATTTTTTAAAGAGGAAGATTGGGCCCCGTGGAATTGTATACTTTTAACGAAAGATGAGGTCAAACAACATTTAAATATTCGCACATTGGATAAGGTTTACGATAATGAATTGTTGTGTAACGTTTATAATAAACACGTGCTGGCTAAGAAATATTTTGCGAAAGCATTACAACTGGATAATTATTATCAGGAGATTGGAAAGGTTGATACGAGATGGAACGAAATTATTGAGTTGAAACAATTGGTTAAGGTTACTAGTAAACCAAAAATATTTTTGAGTTGTCATTAAAATAAAATTAATAAAATATAAAGTGAAAACGATTCGGGTACAATAAAATATTTGCAGAAGAAATGTTATTATAATTTTTCCTGTTTTCCTTCAATTTTATTTTTAAAAGTTAATATAGATTTCAAAGTAGCATGTTTTAGTTAATCTGTTTTATGGAAGAAGTGATTGGTGAAGAAATATAAACAACAATACTGATAGACAATAGAAGTGCTATAGACTTGATCAATAATGGAATCTTAAACATATTGATGTTCGTTTTCATTTTATTTTTCATTTTCGTTTTTTTTTACATATATAGTCAAGTCAAAAAGAATTAAATTGGTCTATTTTAACAGTAAAGATAATTTAGCAAACTTTTTTACAAAGCCATCAGAAAGGGTTACTACATTTGAGGGATTCAGACATAAACGATAGATCTTATGGTAAAAAAATACACTACTCTCCAAAATCATCGCACCACCTAAGTTATGCATTAAGTTTAAAGGTTTTTTTTTTTTGAATCAACGGATGGATTTTGATGATTATTTCTTCACGGTATAGGTTGATTTTTAAGGAAGAAATGTGTTGATGGTTTCTGACAATTGTCAACGTTTTACCAATATACGGGGTGTAAAAAGAAATTTATGTTTTTTCTTCTAATTTTGCAACACCCTGTGGAATTTATCAGAAAGAACCGCTACATTCCATTTACATTACGTTAGAATGGCAACCCTTCTCTACATTTTCGTTCAAGAATCATCTCGATATCTCTTTTATCAAGGAAGATACACATTTTTAAGTTTGACTTAATTTTAAACTAAGATTAGAACTAGAACTAACACTAGAAACTTTCGGGTTTTGCCGTGCGTCTTTTAATAAAAGGTTTGACGTTTCGGATGCCATGTTGCAACTTTCTTCAGAAACTGGTTCGAAGTGACGAGATCAAAAAATCGGTAACTATATATAAGTCGGAAAAACTAATTAATAATCAGTTAACGCTAATTACAAACTAATTAATAACTAATTGCGTCGCGTCCGGTGTGAGGCGGGAAGAGGTCTTCGTGTTCACTACCATCTTCCATGTTCTACTAAGCTCCCGGCCATCCTCTCTGTTGACGTTATTTTTATGTCGGTGAATCTCTATGGCTTCTCTTGTCAGTCTTTGGTAGTATCTGTTGTCCCTAGCCAGCACCTTTGTTGCCAGCACGCCTCGTAGAAAGTGTTGCTCCTTCTTCAAGTTCTCCATGGTGAACTTAATCATAGGATGTTGAGAGTTCAAGTGATCCATGGAAACAGAAACTGCCAAAAAACTACCTTTCCTAGATGTGTTGGTCACCAGAACGACAAATGGAGATATAGAACTTGGTGTATACCGAAAGAAGACCCATACCAACAGGTATTTACAGGCATGTTCACATCATCATCCCCAACAGAAGAGGTCCGTGATCCGTACATTATTTCAGCGAGCAGCGAGACTATGTGAAGGAGAGAACTTGAAGAAGGAGCAACACTTTCTACGAGGCGTGCTGCAGAAGAATGGATACACTTCGAGGGACATCAACCAGGCCATCAAGCAGCGAAA